CTGCTCTGGCTGCTGCATTGGCTAACTGGGTTGAAATGCATCATTTTCAGACTCCAATTTCATACATTCAAGTTTACTCTATACACATGGTTTGGAGCAAGCTGAACAGAGCTGGATGCAAGCCACAGAACTGCTGAAGACAGCATGGAGCGTCAGAGCAGACTCAACACTGATACTGGAGCAAGCCTACACGACAGCAGCCTGTTACCCCAACAAACCGCTGATGAACAGAGCTCACTTCTCAGCAAGCCTATGAACAAGATCCTGACTTGCCTGGGGCAGAAGCACTTGCTAGACAAACTCTCCTTTGCAGATTTTTCACCAGTCTGCTTTTCTCAGAGGAGATGATCCTGTGTGCTCCCGCTGCTGGCTGGCCATACTCCAATTCAGCCCAGACCAGCAGGATAAGGCAGTGCTCCACCTTGCAAAACGGCAGCTTCCACAATGCCTTTTTCCACTGATCTTCTGCTTCTCTTCCTGCAGAGCCTTACCCAGTGAGAACAGGGCAGCCTGGAGAAGACCCCACTGTGCACACCTGCATCCCATCCTGCATTTCGCTCCAACTCCCTGGCTTTCTAGATCTCGCTCCTCTCCTTCTCCCAGTAAGAGGACAATATCCTCCTCACTTCACAGGCCACAGCTTCTCCCTCATGTCTGGTGTTCTCCCAAGGATGCTAAACAAGCAGGGATGTACAGGCATCTTCCCAGAGACACTGCAGCAATGTCTCTTTTTTTGTACTCATCAAGTTATTGCTCCCACACACACGCATCTAAACTCAGCTCCACCAGCTCTTGAATTTAACTTGCATATGAGCAGTCTGATCTGTAAAGGATTTAGCTACGCAAAAGGAAAAATCCACTTATGGTTTGGCCCACAGCACTGTGTTATGCAATTACCTGGGCTGCCGCTGCCTCTGCGTTATCAGCGTGCCCCTCACTCAGGACATCTTACCCTTTTAGCAGATAGGCTGGGTATCTGCTGTGTTGGTATCACTCCTGAAGAAGAGAGCCCAGTGAGATAAGGCAACCAGCTCAGCAGAGACAGAGAGGGTGTCAGGACTCCTGGATTCACAATCCTGCACTTTAACCACACAGACACTCTTCAGTACAGAGATGAGCTGTTCCAAGAGCCCTCGTTGCCATCAGATGGGCACCTCAGGCAGGTCGCGCATTAGGACATGGAGCACAGAAAGACTATTCCCTCTGTAAGCATTCAGGTCATTTTGTGTCACCCACAGTAAGCTGTAAAACCATATTCCAGCAGCAAGAAGTTGATAATGAAGTTCTGTTTTTACTGAACCAGTCATTAAACAGTGCTGGTCTCACATTATAGAGAGACCAAGAAATAGGTGGCAACACACAGAATAAAACTTACCATCTTGAAGCATTTTTCTCTGCATATCTGTAATTATAAACCAAACATCAGCTTCCCTCTCTCCCTGCAGTAAATAATTAACTGAAAAAGAATATTCCTCTTGGCCCCATCCTCCCCAATCAATTTTGCTTCGCAACAACGTGCTGCCTGGATTGCTTGCTGTGTCAGTGCACCCGAGTGTTATCCAGAACATTTCACAAGACATAGAGGAGCCATGTAACTGTTAACTTCAGTACAGCAGAGACCTTTCCTTACGGGTATGAGAAGGCACCATCACGTAACTCCTGGTACTTAAAGCAGACAGCTATGACATACACAGCTTAGCTCATTCACTGCAGCAACATCACTGCAACCATCAGCGGAGGCGAATCACGCACTCGGAGCACTCCCATCATACTTCTCTCGGCTGCCTGAGCTTTATTGCCGAGGCATAGCAGATTTCCTCCCCCAAAATACAAAGTTTTCTATTCCTTTCTTTGTTTTTGAGAATATCTCCCACACACATTTCATGCGGGGGGGGGGGGGGGGGGGGGGGAGCCTTCTCCATAACAGCACTCTCATTTTTAAGAGACCTTACTCTTTTAATACTAGATCTAAGTTGAACGTTGTGACTGCTCAGTCATGCACAATAACCTGTTCACCTCTTGCTACTTACCCTCATCAACCTGACACCCATACAGGCTCTGAAAGTAATAGGTAAGCCAGAAAACCTTCAGAGTACTCATTCCTTTTGCCCTGCTGAAAGATACTCCTGGAGGTAACCCCAGCGGAGAGGAAGGACAATGCCAGGAGCAAAGCAGGGCTGCCTGACGGTGAGGCTGGGCTTGGCCAGGCAGCTGATGGAACCAGGTCGCATACAGCTACACAATCAGTGAACAACACAAGATCTGCCACTTGATCCTAGTTGTTTTCTTAGGATACAAAGTCAAATTCAATTTAAAAGAAGGCATAAGGAGAGCACAAGCAAAATGAGAGTTCCAGAATTGCTGGAACACCCTTGTGCAGCAGCCAGAAAACCCAGGGAGAGGTAGAGAAGCATTACCACCCAGCAAACACCTTCATACTCACACGCAGTTCGGGTTTAGTCTTACATTTTAAGGAATTAAATGCATGCCAGGTTTAGTTGAGCTGGCTATGAAGCATTCAATAAAAGTCTCCACCAGAAAGGTGAAGAAAAAAAGAAAATTGGCTAATTTAAACTCAAAAAGCATGGAAAGAGAGGTTGAAGAAAGAGGCAGAAGAAAGAATGACAGGAAAAGCATGACACAAAAGAGATACAGAATGATGAAGGGAAAGGAAAAATTAAATTAAACAGATACTGAGTGCAGTTCAGGAAAAGATAAGCCATGAAAAAGTGGAATGAAAACTGGAAAGGAAAGATAAGAGAAAGAGGAACGTGCCACAGCATAGCAGTTGAACAGCAAATGGCAAATAGATCATTTGTTTAATCTCATCCGTATTTGTAAAATAATTTATTTGATTAATACTCTTTTGTGGTCTTCAACCAGCTATGAAGCTGATCTAATATCATTTCATAAATCTATTATTAGATTAATACAGGTAAAATTCAAATATTCAACATTTTTATCTGCTGCTTAATAAGGTCCAGTTTTAAGTTTACACTTCAAAAATACTAAAATAGAAAGATGATAATGAGCTACAATTAGATAAAGAGTGCTCAGGGCACAATAGTTTTGTTTTTCCTAGACCAGCAAAAAAGACAGTAGCATAACATATCTCAAAAGACAGGAGACGGAGACATTTCTACCTCTTCCCTTCATCACCTTCCCACAAGAAACCCCTCTCTACAGGCTGTACTTTCTGACTTGCGTTTTATTTTGTTGACTATTTCCCCCATATTCAACTTTTTTACTCTGTAAAGCTTCCTTACACCAAGAAAACCTGGGGAGATCCAAGGGCAGCCCAGCAAGAAGGTAAATTTGGGGTGCACCAGGAGCAGGAGGGGCAGTGGTGGGTGCCATCTCCAGCCTGGAAGCAAACATTTACATCTGCAGGAGAAGCAAAGCTCAGCTCAAAGGGAAGGGAAGTTCAGTGAAAGATGGCCACGTGGACAAGGATGCCTCAGGTTCTCTACAAGCTCACAGGGTAAAGCTTCTCAAGTACCAGCAGCTTTTTCCAAGCCTCCCCAAGAGAGCTGGGGAGGAGGGCGAAGCAATCAGCAATTTTTCAGCCTTTTTTTTCCCCTCTCTGGCCCAACACGATAGCAAGGGAGTCCCCTCGAGTCCTCAGACCACAGGGTGAAAGCCTGCAAGGCAGGCCACCTGCACAGGTCTGTCAGGGAGCCCCGTGAAGCGGCATCGGACTCGATGAGGGAACTGTGGCCATCACCTTCTAGACCGATGCCAGAGAAGGCCCGAGGTTACCCCCACTGCTGCTGTACCTTCACCACTGACAGCCACCGAGAGCCAAACTCACCGCAGAAGAGAACCACACCAAGGGTAACTCCTTGGGGCCAGAAAAGTGTCCCTCAGGTCATAAGTCCTATTTAAATATTACAGCAATATCCCAAACTGAGATAATTATTGTTAATTACAAGATCATTTTTATGTAAACAGAGGGTATTACCATGCATACTTCATGCCTTTTTAATTAAAAGAAATGAGATTCACTGAGACTAAAAAAAAAACGACACGCTGACAAGCTCCCACCCCAAAGCAGACTCTTCTGTAGTGATAATGTCCGTCAGCCTCCAGACCCACATAGGAGACCAAAGAGCAAAATCAATCAGCATTGGCCTCCCCGGTGCTGAAATGAAGCAGTTGGCACATTATTAATCACACAGGGAGAAGGTTTGGTGATGAGAAAGAAAGGACCAGACACACAGAGGGGGAACGCACATGGATTCAAAGTCATGGCAGCGTTATGAACACTTGGGAAGAATCACACAAATTACCAGCTGGAGAATCAAAACACTTTGGAGCTCTACAAGGATAAACGCATCAGCAATTCTGACCAGGAGAAATCAGCATCCACCATACAACTCTCCAACAACTCTTTTGGTGAACCCCCACAAAACCTCACGTGCTTTTCTCTGTTCAAAACCAGTTCCTGCTCCAACCCACGCAACCCACCTGTGCCAACCAGACCGGGGTACATCACCACATCACCGGGGGGCTGCACCCTCCCGCCTCTCAGAGACCTGCCCAGGACCAACCCTGCACAGCACAGGCTAAAGAGACATGACTTAGGTCATTGAACTAGTCAACACCTCGGCTTGGGTCAAGGATTGACTTAGGTCACCATTCCTAGCGCACCATCCTCCTGCTTCCAGCTAAGCATTTCTCCAGAGTTTGCCAGTCCTCTCTGATTCCCCATCAGCTCTTTTGTCTCCGGGCACGTTCCACTGCTTGAGGTAATTAAAATGCATCCTCAAGCAGGAACCGTATGGGCCGAAGCGAGCCACCAGATGCACCCGCTCCCACTTGGGGTGAAGGGGTCGCACCCCCAGACCCCGCGACAGCCTCGCAGGGCGCGAGCAGCCTCCGCACGCCGCAGAGCCCCGGTGGCGGGTGTCCCCGGGAGGAAGGGAGGTGCCGCCAGCTCTGCAGAGCCGCACGCACGCAGAAACGGGGGACCTCGCTCGCTGCCTCCCCAATGCACGTACCTGCACCTCCGCCACCTGCGCGCCCCCTCTGCGCCTCAGCCCCGGCCTGGCACTGCCCTGAGGCCCGTCTCTCCTGGGGGGGGGACGGAGACCAGCGGGCACCTGCTGTGGCAAAGGGTGGGGGTGTCCAGAGCATCACGGGGGTGGTGGTGTGGGGCACGCAAGGGGACAAGGAAAGGCGGGTGCAGGGGGCTGCAAACTGAGGGTGCAAGGAAGAGGAGGGAGAGGGGGCGGAGAGGGCTGCGGCTTGGGGACGCGGAGGGGAGCGGGATGGTAAGGGGGGAAGGAGAGGGGCTGCGGCTTAGAGGGGGAAAAGGGCCAGAGGAGCGCAAAGGGGGTGCAGGAGGAGGAGAGCGGGATAGAGGGAAAAGGGAGCACAGCAGCGACAGAGAGAAAATGGGTGCAGAGGCTCGGGGGTAC